AGAGATATCCATCCATCCTTCTCCACAAGCTCCATTTAGACCAGGCCTTCTGAAACTTTTTTCACTCGTGACCCCTTTTTGCCCGAGAAATTTTTATGTGACCTCGGATATGTAGGTATATAAAATAGGTATACAAATCAAACATTTACTGATAATAAATCATAAAGAAATTTATTTTAAAACAATTCTTTGGTGTACATATAATTTTACCATTTTTAAAGACAAAAGCAAATTCACATATTAATGAGATGAATGTGTTTGTTTATTTTTATGGTAGGAAATATTAAAAGTCTTTATTTTCTGTAATCAAACTATTATGTTTCTATAAGAGCAGACAACTTTGTACAGTAAAAACACTGTAATTCATAGCACACAATAGTCTCGAATCTGAGCCAAGGTGTTTCTGGCAGCGTTCGTTGGCGTTGTGTGGTGTGGCATGATAGCATGCACAGTGCCAAGTGCGCATGTTGTGTGTTCAGAACCAAGGCTGCAATAAAGTCACTCGATGCAACATGGGTAAGCACTACCAGAAACACCTCGGATTCATTATGTGTTTGATTTTGAATTAATTTTTGGTCATTTGCACATTCAGAAATCTTTAACTGTGGCCAAATTTTTCACAACCCCCACATTCAGTTACACAACCCCATATGGGGTCAAGACGACAGTTTAAGAAGCGTTGTGCTAGGACAGGACGCTGAGCTCGGAGCTAGGAAGATCTGAATTCAAATCCAACTTCGAACACTTCCTAGCTGTGTGATTCCGGCCAAGTTATTTAACTTCTGTCAGCCTCAGTTTCTTTCACTACAAAATGAGGATAACAATAGCACCTGCCTCCAAAAGTACTTAGCATAGTGCCTAGCACATTGTAGATGCATAATAAATGTTTGTTCCCTTCTCTGTCCCCTTCCCTACTTTATGAAGCTACATATGCCATGTTTAATTTTCCACTGTCTTTCTCTGTACGGTTTTACAAATGACATTGTATTACCCAATCATACCCAGTTGATGTATGGCTCCATTTGGCCAGGAAAGCATCTGTATTAGTTAACTTTTCTTAGGAAATGATGGAAATGTGTGTTACTACCTGTTCTTTTCCCCATTTTCCATTTGAGGGCATCAGCATCTTGTTTAAATAGGTCCAGGTTAGAGCTGCCTCAATTGTGTACCATATCACCCCATTTTACTATTTATTTTTAATTTGGTATTACTTTTGAGTCTTTGAACTAACAAGTCAGTAGTACGACTATACACAAACAGTTGATTCAGAAATTGCTCCCATACCTGTAACAAGTCACTTCTGGTCTGTTAAAATACAATCTATTTCATTTTTATGGTATTATTTGGTAGTTGACATATCTACCACCATATAATTCTCTTTTTTTTTCTTTGCTTTTTGGTGAGGCAATGGGGTAAGTGACTTGCCCAGGGTCACACAGTTAGTGAGTGTCTGAGGCAGGATTTGAACTCAGGTCCTCCTGACTTCAAGGCCAGAGCTCTTTCCACTGCACCGCCTAGCTGTCCCTCTAACTCTCTTCTTTAAAAAATTGTTCATGAAAAAAATACAAAAAAATACAAAAACCCCCCCAAAAGATAAAATAAAAATTGTTCATGATATTAGTATAGTGGAAAGAATGATGGACATGAGAATCAGGAAGGCTTGGATTCAAAACTCTACTTTACTACTCACCATCTGTGTGACCTCAGGTGAGTCACTAAACCCCTCTGAGCTTCAGTTTACTCATCTGTAAAATGTTGGGAATGTAGGTTTGAAATAGATGATTTCTGAGGTTCTAAATCCATGATCCTATGTTGTAAAGAGGGCAGGAGGGGAAAGAGGGACAGAGGGGTATGGGGGAGCCAGTAATTCAGGGCTCCATATTGGGACCTCAGAATTGAAATAATAAAGAAGCATGAGGACAGAAGTCCTCCCTAGCTCACTGCTTCTCCATGTTTAGAGACAGCTGAGAATCCCTGGCAATTTGGACAATCTCAATCCATCCTCTTGCTCCTGAACAGAGAGTTCTGGTAATACTGGTCCTGGCTAATTTCCATGGGTAAGAATTCAGGCTACACCCAGGACTGCAATCTCCAGTCTGCCCTCAACCCAGCTTCACCAGTCCTAGTCAAAGTAGAGAAAGTGCAGGTCCCACACACTACAAACAGAAGGATCCAATCCCCAAAGCCTGCCACCTTCCCTCAAAATGGGCTAGTCTTTGGCCTCCTTTCACCGGCCTTTTCACTCCCTTTGCTCCATGGGCAGGAATAGCTGCCCCAGAAATCTCTGAAGGACAAAGAAGAAAAAGAAAAGTGAAGAAGGAGGGAAGGCAGACACATGCATATGACAAAGAGAGGAGTGTGGTTGGAGAGGAGGAGTTGTCTAATTCCAGGCTAGGCTCAGTGCTGAAAGGTGCACTTAGAGACCCTACCTTCCCCATCCCTCACAGGTTTGCTTCCTCATGAAGTCTCTCTGGGATCAAAAAGAAGCTAGCTAGGAGGGCTATGCTCTGGAATACGCCAAGAAAGTATATCAAACTCTATTTCTAATTGATTCTGAGCCCCCATTTATTTTTCTCACGGGGGCTGACTTTCCCTTTCTCACTGTTATGCCTCCAGCCCCATAGGATTACACAAATCACTGTTGATGACCACATACTTTATTAGGAGTATAAAATAGCATAGAAAACACAGATGGGCACTCAGGCAATACAGGGAAGGCTTCAGTAGGTGACAGCAGCAGGGGTGACTCTCTTCTCCTTTGTGCCCCTCCCGATGGTCTGAGGGAGGTGAGGAAGAAAGGATTGAGACTTAAAGCCTGGGCAGAAATTTCCCCAACACAACACTCTAGGAAGTCACGGTGGGAGAAGGAGTTTTGGACTAGAGTTCATTTGCCTCATCAGATGATTTGGCCTTATCTGCTATTGGCCCCTTTGACAGACCCCAGTCTACAGTGCATCCAGCCCAAGCTCCCTGCTGGGCTTGGCAGAAGCCTAGAGACTGGCTGCAACTTGCATTCCTCCTCCTCTTCTGTCTGCATTGTGGTCCCTTTGTGGAAATTCCCCTCGAGGTCCTGGAAGGTACACTCACATCCACTCTAGCCCAGCAAGTCTCTATGATTCCAAGGAAGTCTCCATGACAATGTCTCTGGGGAAGGAACAAGTCTCAGCTGGATTCTGTTGGCCACCCCAGTCTTGCTACTCTTATCCTCCTCTAGGACTTTCTGTTCCCCTTCATGCACTCTCTGAGGTCTCCCATAGAGGGCAAAGGCAGCCAGGAGCCTTTCAGTGAGGGACAGAAGAAAACATGACAGTCAACTGAAATTCTTTCCATGACAAGTCAGGTCAGATAAGGGACTTGCCACAGGCACTCCGGCATGAGCATTCCCCAGCGTCTTTATTGAGAAGGAGAGAAGACATAGAAGGAGGAATGTAGCAAGAGAAGGGATCCGGAGTGGGGTTCTAGGGGCGAGGAGAGAAGATAAAGGAAGAGGCCGAAGGAGGCTGGGAGCTGGGGCTTCTCATATGACCTGCACATAGAGAGTCTCTGAAGGCAGATTTTTGCATTAAGGGTGTGACAGACATCTGTTAATCAGAGATTAAAGGCAGCTGAGTAGGACTTCATCCTCTGGCAGGAAAGACTTAGGGCAAAAAACAGGCCCAACTGGCAAAGGTCACTAAATCAAAGCCTGATCAGGAGTCTCCAGGACAGAACCCGAGGCTACAAACAGCAGCCCTGGCCCTCAGCCACGTGAGCTTACCACTTGACCTGCCGATAACAGTGGCAGAGGACTGAGAATGGTGCTTCCCACAAGCATGGAGGGAAAGGGACTTTGTGCGTTTTGAATTTTGTGAAAGGTTAATACTGTGTTTGTTTCTGCCCGTGTCAAATAGTTGTTATATCTGCACAAAGTAAGGGCTGATCTCCCTATGACAGAAGGTCAAAGGGCTGGAAGAATATCTCATTGTCTCCACTTCATCAGCAAGGAGGAAATGTTCTTTGAAAGAATGGAAGCTTAATATGGAAATGTGTTTAACATGATTGCACGTATGTGACCTATATCAACTCACTTACTGTTTTAGGGAGGGAGGAAAATTTGGAACTCAAAATTTTTAAAAATGAAATGTTAAAAATTGCCTTTAGGGGCAGCTAGGTGGCGCAGTGGATAGATAGAGCACCAGCTCTGGAGTCAGGAGGACCTGAGTTCAAATCTGACCTCAGACACTTAATCATTTGATACTTACCAGCTGTGTGATTCTGGGCAAGTCACTTAACCCCAACTGCCTTGCCAATTAAAAAAAATTGTCTTTATATGTAATTGGAAGAAATAAAATATTATTTAAAAAAAAAAAGGATGAAAGCTTAAGACTGGCAGGTTTGGACACCATTGATTTGGGCAGCATTGATGCCCCTGCCCCTTCTCCCATATACACACAATAGTGCCCACACGTGGACACACACTCATGCACACATTCTGACCTTCCTCAGCTTCCATGACACTGCTCTTCCTTGCTTCTTCTCTTACCTGTCTGAATGCACTTCTCCATTTCCTTCTCTGGCTTACTGTCTCTCGTCTACCTACTAATTACTGATCTTAAACACCTTGTCCTGGACCCTCTTCTTTCTTTTGGCAGCTAGGTGACACGGTAGATAGAGTGCCAGGCCTTGAGTCAGGAAGGCCTGAGTTCAAATTCAACCTCAGATACTTATTAGCTGTGTTACTCTGGTCAAGTCACTGAACTACTCTGTTTGCCTGGTTTCCTGATCTGTAAAATGGGGATAACAATAGCACCTACTTCACAGGGTTGTTGTGAGGATCAAATGAGAAGGCAATTGTAAGGTGCTTAGCCCAGCACCCAACACATAGTAAGCACCACCTGTTAAAGCTCGTTAGCTTTTGAAGTTATTATTATTATCATCGATACTCTCTCCTTGGCTTCATCAGCTCCCATGGGTTTAATTATCATCTCTGTGCAGATGATTCCCAGATATAAATATCTCACCCCAGTCTCTATGCTGAGCTCCAGTCTTACATCACCAATTGCCCCTTCATCAAATTCCTTGTTTCTATCGAGGGCACCATATAATGGCGGCATAATGGCGGACTGGCAAATTGGGGGAGGGGGAATCCTTGAAGCAGGTACAGATATTCCCTGACTGGCTTTATTCCTAAGGATATGCCCAGATACTCTCTGCCTATTTCCAATCCAACTCTCTGCAAAAGCTTGTGTGACTGAGGAGCTGGTACAGGCAGAACTACTGTGACCTTTTGCGGGGAGAGTGGCAACACGCTTCCTTCTCCCACACAGCCACCACCTCCGCATGTGACATCTCTATTTCTTTTGGGTTTAGTCTTTCCTAATCTTTGCTGAGTGAACATGCTAAGAGAAGATAACAGGGAGATTCATCAAAGCATCAGAGGTCCCCCAGGACCCCAGGATTGATGGCAGAGTCGACCAGAGCAGTGGCGGCCAGTGATAAAGGAAGTACCCGCAGGAGAGGTGGAGGAACGCTCCCCCGTCGGTGGCAGCTTCAGAGACGGCCCTTCATCACGGAAAGAAATGCTGGTCGTGGACTCTAGAAAGGCCATAGCAGCTGGGTGTTGGGCTCTGAAGCCCAGCAGAGAATTCGATCTGGCCTCAGATGGGCTCCACAAAGGAAGAAAAGGCCTTCCAGGGTGAGGAGTCAAGAGGTACCACTTGGCCACGCCTTTTGTATTTAAAACTTGAGCCCACCTCTCGCGAGCACATCGTGTACACTAGGACAGAGTGCGCCCTAGCTTGGGGCTGTTGTTTAGTGACCCTTGTTCTTCCTGCGCTTTCTCAGTAAATCCCTTTTCTAAATAATGAGGAATACACTAAGTGGGAGCCCAAGAGTGACAGCATCAAAGCCATAACACTCAGGATCGTCCCTAGCTCTGTGAGGGGAATAGTAGTCAAGAGGACCCAACATACAAGTGGATGTGGGAATTAGGAGAGTTAACCCAGAGGGAGATACGACATTTGTGTTGACTCGTCTGGCAGTTGTGTCCAACTCTTCCTGACCCCATTTGGAGTTTTCTTGGCAAAGGTACTAATGTGATTTGCCATTTCCTTCTCCAGCTCATTTTACAGATGAGGAAACTGAGGCAAACAGGGTGAAGTGACTTGTCCAGGGTCACACAGCCAGTAAGTGTCTGAGGTCTCATTTGAACTCAGGTCTTCCTGATGCCAGGCCTAGAGTTCTATGCACTATGGCACCACCTAGCTGCTCTCTGTGACATTAACTAAGTCCTATTGATTCCATCTCATTCACCTTCCTTACTCACATAGCAACTTAGTGCGGTCGCACTGGCTCAGGCACTTTCATATTTTTGTATATTTTTAAAAGTTTCTTCTGTGCTGAGGAAATAAACAGCTACCCTCTACCTGATCTATTTTGTTGTTGAAGAGCTTTCTACTCCACTTTTTGGGGAGACCTGGGCATGAGCCAAACCTAAGCATTAAATGATTTGCCCCAGTGCACTAGGGTGAGTGTGCAAAAAGCCAGGGAGTGGGAGGAGTGGGGAGAGAGAGAAAAAAGAGCTGACCTCTCTCTTCAGAGACCAGGCTCCCCCGGGACTGAACCCAGTCTACCCACAGGGGTCCAGAGCCGGGCGCCTTTTAGTGAGAGAAGAAGGAGAGCACGAGCATCCTAGGCCCCTTGGGCCCAGCAGGGACAGTTTCACTTCTGTCTTTGTTATCCCAGTACCCAGGATAGTGCCTACCTGGCACAGAGTAAGAGTCCAACTATTGAATTGAATTGAATGTTGTATCAGAATACAAGCTCTTTGAGAGTAAGGATTCTTTCGTTCTTTCCTTCCTCCCTCCTTTCCTTCCTTCCTTCCTTCCTTCCTCCCTCCTCTCCTTCCTTCCTCCCTCCTCTCCTTCCTTCCTTCCTTCCTTCCTTCCTCCCTCCTCTCCTTCCTTCC